GCCTCCTTCCTGCTCAGAGGACCAGTGCTCATCATTTATGTGGGCGCTTGTGACTGCAAAGGTCAATGGACAGGAAAAATAGCAGTGAGAGAAACCCAGATGAGGACAGTTGGGATGGCAGTCACATCATTCATGTTTCACAAGAGCATTGGCCTTTGCCAGCATTTCCTAAGGGGAAAATCGCAAGGCAGCAAAAACAAAGAGCCACAAATGAACAAAAGGGGACATGGGGCAAGAACTCCCTGAGGATCTGAGAGAGGGGACCTTTGTGCTTCCAAGGACAGTGCCAGTCATGTGTGCCCTGGAGAATTCTGCTGCCAGTGGTTTCTCCTTCAGATCTGCTGTTCTGATTTCTTTACCTTTCCTGCAGTGGAAGATTTCCTCATTTCTTAGTGCCTTCCTAAATTTCAGTCCCAATTCACAGAAATAACCTCGGAAATTATATCAGCATGAAATCTTGTTTTGAATTAAGGTTTTTCATTAGCCGAGAAGAGATTTTACTATTTCATTTTGGACTCGTGTAAGAAAACACAAATGGATGAAAATCTATTATGCTTAGTATTGAATGATTACCTTTACTTCTCATTTTGCTGACACATTATTCAGATTCTATTAAAGCCCCTTTAGTCTGTATCTTTCTTAAAATGATGTGAGAGATGTGTAATGTATCCCTTATCACTGACGTGCATATGTGACATGACATATAGTAAAGCTCAGTACAATTTAAACTTATTTCATGTACTTTTGCCATAATATTCATCAGTCAAGTAAAAACCTTCCTAAGCAGGTAACACCTGTCAGAGAATTGTATCATACTCAAGTCTCCCTTTGGATAGTATGTTTTGCACATGGGTAAGGTGTTCTCTCACCTTTCCACTTTTGTTTTATTAATACTGTTTGCCCTTTAGATTTTTCCCCACAGTGACAATTTAGGGCTCTACTTCATCAAAAATTTTTTCTCACAGTGAAATTATGAGATTTGTTAATTTTCTTTTTTTAAAACCCTTGTTTTGTGAGAGTTAGACTTGTAGTATAGCTTGTTGGCTGCTTCATATTACTAGACTTATTGCTATAAATATAAGAAATTCTGGCAGGTTTGAACAGATTTTTTTTTTAAGTATGGGTTTTACTTTTTTCTTAAAAAGTCTTTACAGAGTTGGTTATGGTGATGAGCTAATAGTCTGTAGAAAACCTAGTTTGGAGTCCATGGTTCTCCATCCTATATGCATCTGCCAGTGAAAGGGTATAGCGTTGTCCTAAACAGAATTTGCTTTTTAGCTTTCCTTACTACAGCAGCAAAGCCTTATCCCAGAATGCTTTGCTATTGAGCTTCCACTGCCCTGACTTGGATAGTATGAGTGTTTCTGCATTGATAATAGAGAAATTCACATCAATATCTAGGTTAATGTTTAGCAGAGATTAGTTGGGTGTTCATTCTGAATTGCTTGAAGTCAGCTCTCTCTGACAACAGTTTTTCATATTTCTTTTAAATTTTAATTATAACTCATCGAGTCTTAAGCAATTACTTCTGAGTTAGACTCTTGATGAATGTCATAGCAGGGTGTTTTAATTTAATAGATCCAGAATAACATCTGTTTCTAATATTTTAAAAGTCAGTTTATATGGAAATTCATTTAATATAGAGTCAATACATGGAGACTTGTAAAAATAAAAATCAAAATGGAAAAGTCAAACCACTGTGATATAGTAGGTCTTCTGTGAACAAAGAATTTCACTTACAGCTAGGTTCAGTTGCCACTAGCTAACACCCAAAATATCACAGCTTAAAAAATATACCAACTTATTTCTCACGCTCATGCAATGGGGAGGTAGTTAGCCCAGGGTTGGAATGTTCTACCAAGACAGGAACTCAATTTCCTTCAGTCCTGTTGCTGTGCTGGGCATGATTTCTATTCCTAAGGACACTTTATGGGCCAAGATGGCTGCTAGACCCCCAGCTATTGCATCTGTGCTCCAGCAGGAAGGAGGTAGTGGTGGAGGGGAAGAGTGTGAAGCTTTTTTCCCCCTTTAAGGGCACTTTTTGGAAGTAGTACATAAAACTCTGCTTATGCTCCACTGGCCAAAAACTAGTCACATGACCATCTATAGCAGCAATGGGAGGTAGGAAATGAAATCTTCTTTCTAGGGACAATATACCATTAGAAACAGAAGGTCTAAGAGTATGCGAAAAGGCTGGGAATAGACATGGAAAAACAACTATCCCTACCACATTGAGTATTTTTTAAGACATGATTTTAACAGACCTTCTGCCTTTTTATTGAGCATCTAGAAAAGTCAACTGGTAGATATAGAAAGAGTAGTATGGTGTTTCACATAGATTAGATAAATTATCAACTACTGATCAGTCTGTTTTATTTTTTATTATTTTTTTAAGATATATCTTTATTGATTTCAGAGAATGGGAGAGGGAGAGAGAAAGATAGAAATATCAACGATGAGAGAGAATCATTGCTCAGCTGCCTCCTGCATGCCCCTACCGGGGATCAAGCCCGCAACCTGGGCACGTGCCTTTGACCTGAATCGAACTTGGGACCCTTCAGTCCAAAGGCTGATGCTCTACCCACTGAACCAAACCAGCTAGGCCAGTCTGTTTTAATTTTAACCCCCCAAATGTACCCAAGTTCAGAGGTTGTGGGTCAAGCAGACTGCAATAAGGGACTTTTTATAAATTTGACCCCAGTCTCTGTAGAATCACAGTAGCAGCTAGCAGGCCTGAGATGTCATTTGTTCTGGGTCTCCAGAACACCTGTGTATCTGCAAAGCAGTGTTCTCTGCTTCCCTACATAGAAGGCAAATGAACAATTACAAGTGTTTGTTAAATGATTTCAAGGTAAAACTATTATCATTACAGAAATTGAAGCTCAGAGAGGTTAATTGGGAGGCCGTTTAGAGAAGCTGTTGAAAACCAGCATTGACCAGCCATTGATCTCAAATGAAGTACTAACTCTACTATTTCTATTAAACACTTAGGATGGGTTTTTAATCTGTTCCATACTCTTGTTTTTGAAGTCACTCAGTAAATAACACAGCTGGGACTCGGGCATTTCTCCTTCAGCCAGGGTTTTTGCAACCTGATTTTTGGTAAAATTCATATGGAAATTCCTTTAATCATGGCTGCCTCACAATGAAAGGCAGAACTGGTGGAGTGGCTATAGGTAAAGGTCTTCAGAGTGGCCACCCACCATCTATCCTTTAGCTACGCATGCACCCACATCCCCTTAAAAAGTCCTGGCATTGGAGTAGGCAAGAGTTTTCTACTTAAGTGTCTCATT